TCCCATTACAGCACCCTGCAGCGCAGTCCTATTGCAACGCCCCACAGTGCAGTCCCGTTACAACACCCCACATCACAGTCCCATTACAACACCCCGCAGCGCAGTCCCATTACAACACCCCGCAGCACAGTCCCATTACAACACCCTGCAGTGCAGTCCCATTACAACACCCCACAGCGCAATCCCATTACAACACCCCGCAGCACAGTCCCATTACAACACCTTGCAGTACAGTCCCATTACAACACCCTGCAGTGCAGTCCCATTACAACACCCTGCAGTGCAGTCCCATTACAGCACCCTGCAGTGCAGTCCCATTACAGCACCCTGCAGTGCAGAATAAAAACCGAAAGAACTGTGGATGCTGCAAATCAGGAACAAAAACAAAGTTGCTGGAAAAGCTCAGCAGGTCTGGCAGCATCTGTGAAGGAGAAAACAGAGTTAATGTTTTGGGTCTTGTGACCCTGCCTTAGAACTCACCGGACCCAAAATGTTAACTCTGATTTTTCCTTCACAGCCAGTGACATTCATATCCCATAAATATCTTTCTAAAAAGATTGCAGGACCAATCTCACTTTGAATCAAAATGCAGACATGGGTGTGCATGCATTACTGATTGCAGTCTGTACAGGACATTGAGATCATTAAACCATTGTTACTGAACAAAGAGGCCTTGGAGTGCAGGTTCATAGTTCCCTGAAAGTGGAGTCACAGGTAGACAGGGCGGTGAAGAAGGCGTTTGGTATGCCTGCCTTTATTGGTCAGTGCATTGAGTATACGAGTTGGAAGGTCATGTTGCAGCTGTACAGGACATTAGTTAGGCCACTTTTGGAATACTGCGTTCAGTTCTGGTCTCCCTGATGTAGGAAGGATGTTGCTAAACTTGAAAGGTTTCAGAAAAGGTTTACAAGGATGTTAAATAAAAACAAAAAAAACTGCGGATGCTGTAAATCAGGAACAAGAACAGAAGTTGCTAGAAAAGCTCAGCAGGTCTGGCAGCATCTGACCGCTCTGAGGAAGGGGCACCGGACCTGAGACATTAACTCTGATTTTATCTTCACAGACGCTACCAGACCTGCTGAGCTTTTCCAGCAACTTTCTATTTTTGTGCAAGGATGTTAGCGGGTTTGAACTGTATGGAGAGGTCGAATAAGCTGGGGCTAGTTTCCCAGGCTGAGGGGTGATCTTGTAGAGGTTTATAAAATCATGAGGGTCGTGGATAGGGTAAATAGGCAATGTCTTTTCCCCAGGGTGGGGGAGTCCAAAACTAAAGGGCATAGGTTTAAGGTGGGAGGGGAAAGATTTAAAACGGACCTAAGGGGCAGCTTTTTCACACAGAGGGTGGTGCGTGTATGGAACAAGCTGCCAGAGGAAGTGGTGGAGACAGGTACAATTACAACATTTAAAAGGCTTTTGGGTGGGTAGGTTTAGGATAGGAAGGGTTTAGAGGGATAGGGGCCAAATGCTGGCTAGTCGGAGCAGATTTATTTAGGATATCTGGTCAGTGTGGATGAGTTGGACTGAAGGGTCTGTTTCTGTGCTGTATATCTCTGTGACTCTATGACTCTATTGTTTGCAGGGCTGGGAAGAAGAAGTGATTGAGTAACAGTTCCTAGCAGCTCAGAAAACCCTGCAACGATCTGACACTGCAGTTTCTTCAGATTTTGCAGTGTGCAGCCAATTGAGTCTCATGGTCAGAGCTGCAGACTAAGCGGAATCAAACGGAAAGAGCTCAACATCGTCCCCCCTTGTAGCCAAGCAATAACCTGTGGCCAGCTGAGGCAGTGGTCACTAAAGGTACTGCAAACCAGGGCTAATTTAACCCTTCAGATGCTGGAAGAAACTGGAATAGCTTTCAAAAGTTGCAGATCAAATTATAAATTCTGCAAAATTTTGACAAAATATCTATCTACAAAGTTGGAAATCATCAGATCTTCCACCTGAAGTTATTTTATTCCAACAATGTGTTGAACTCAGTTTCACCTGGAATTCCTTTAGCTTTCAATTGCCTGAAGTCAGTGACTGAGTTACGTGTAGATCCAGAGATCAGGGACATGACAAAGGCCAAGAGAATGATTGCTCCCATGCTAACCTCAATCCCACTGGAAATGTTCCAAAAAGACACATTCTGAACCAACCCAGAGGTTGGAGCAGTTGAGGAATCTGGGTCTGTTCTTTATGGAGTTTAGAAGGACGAAGGGGGAATCTGACTGGGACTTGCAGAATACTGAGAGGCCTGGATAGAGTGGACATGGAGAAGATGTTTCCACTAGTAGGAGAGACTAGGACCTGGGAGAACAGCCTCAGAGTGAAGGGATGACCCTTTAGAACTGAGGTGAGTCGGAATTTCTTCAGCCAGAGGGAGGTGAATCTGAGCAACTCATTGTTACAGAGGGCTGTGGAGGCCACATCACAGAGTGTGTTTAAGACAGAGATAGATAGGTTCCCGGTTATAGAGTCAGAGAGTCATACAGAACAGAAACAGACCCTCTGACCCAACTCATCCATGCTGACCAGCATTCCTAAACTGAATCAAAGATAGTAGAAACTGCAGATGCTGGAGAATCTGAGATATAACATATTTCTGAAGAAGGGTCTAGGCCCGAAACGTCAGCCTTCCTGCTCCTCTGATGCTGCTTGTCCTGCTGTGTTCATCCAGCTCTACACCTTGTTATCTCTTTCCTAAACTGAATTAGTCCCATTTGCCAGCATTTGGCCAATTTCCCTCTAAACCGTCCCTATCCATGTACCTATCAAAATGTGTTTTAAATGTTGTAACTGTACCAGCCTCCACCACTTTCTCTGGCAGCTCATTCCATACATGCACCACCCTCTGTGTGAAAAAGTTGCCCCTTAGGTCCCTTTTAAATCTTTCCCCTCTCACCTTAAACCTATGCCCTTTAGTTTTGGGCTCTCCCACCCCAGGGAAAAAAGCCTTGATTATTTACCCTATCTATGCCCCTCATGATTTTATAAACCTCTATAAAATCACCCCTCAGCCTCCGACACTCCAGGGAAAATAGCCCCAGCCTATTCAGCCTTTCCCTGTAGCTCAAACCCTCCAGTCTCAGTAACATCCCGGTAAATCTTTTTTTGCACCCTATCCAGGTTAATAATGTTCTTCCTGTAGCAGGGTGAGCAGAATTATATGCAGGTACTCCAAAGTGGCCTCACCATTTACAGCTGTAACGTGACATCCCAGCTCCTGTAGTCAATGCTCTGACTGATAAAGGCGAGCCTCCTAAAGCCGCCTTCACTGTAACAGGACCAAGGGGCATGGGGAGAAGGCAGGAGATTGGCATGATGTGATAGAAGCAGCACAATGGGCCAAATGGCAGCGGAGACAGGAGGATGATGTGTTGTATGCAGCTCCTGATGTAATCACATTGTCAAATATTGAAGACGTGATTATTTCATGTCTCTTGTGTGTGATTGGTGCATTTGTGTTTGAGAAGGAGAATATAGCAGCTAGTATTTCCTGGAGTTGGTGAAGGTCACTGTCACTGAGCTGGGTCCCATTTTTACAGCAACCATGGTGACGTGAAATCATTGTCAATTGTCATAAAAACCCACAAATAAAATCAAAATCCTGTGGAGACTGAAAAACCTGAAGAGGCAGACTGGAGTCGAAATGTTAACTCTTCACAGATGCTGCCAGATCTGCTCAGTTTCTCTGTGTTTGTTTTGTAAAAACCCATCTGGTTCACTAATGCCCTTTAGGGGAAGGAAACTGCCATCCTCACCTGGTCTGGCCTATATGTGACTCCAGACCCACAGCAATGGGGTTGACTCTGAGCTGTTAGGGATGGGCAATAGGTGCTGTCCCAGCCAGCAGTGCCCACTTGCCGTGAATGGCTGAGAAAACAGATCAAAGAGCAGGTGAGTGAGTCACAGTGGGAGCTGCTATAGTGTGAACCACTGGTTTTGCTGGATATGCTTCTCATTTCTCTCTCTCTCTCACTGTCTCCATCTCTGGCAGAATGTGCAGCTCGGAACAACACCTCGGGTCCAGTTACAACTCCTTCATTAAAACCGAACCATCCAGCCCATCGTCTGGCACTGATACAAGCAACCATCACAGCCCCATTGCCTCATCCGATACCAGCCTGAGCTACAGCCACAGCCTGCACTCACCTTCCCTGTTTGTAGCCTCGGTGGGTGTGGGGCCCTGTCGCAAACATTTGGAGCCGTGTTCTGGGCCCCTCCTGGACGACTGTCCCTCAAAGTGCGAGTATGTGCTGAACTCTCTCCCCAAACGCCTCTGCCTGGTTTGTGGGGACGTGGCATCTGGCTATCACTATGGGGTGGCCTCCTGTGAAGCTTGTAAGGCTTTCTTCAAGAGGACCATACAAGGTAAGGTCAGTGGTGGCACAGCGGGCACCTGGGTTTGGGCAAGGACACCCCGGGGGGGCACAGTGGTGGGGTACCCAGGGGTGGGGCACTGACACCCAGGAGACTGGGATGGTGGAAGGGGAGATACAGTGATCTGAGGGGTGCTGTATAGCATGATGTAACACCAGCAGCAGGAATGTGCTGGGTGCTGTGAAGAGTGGGTAAGTGAGAGATGGACGGATGGAGATCAGGATCCTGAGCATTGTCTGAATGAAAGAGTTTGCAGAAACCCACCTGAGTCAGGCAGTGCTGAACCAGGGCTCCCAGCAAAGGGAAGCTGCCTCAGGTCACAGATGCTTATTTTTTCCTTTATTCTTTCACGGGATGAGGGTGTCGCTGGCCAGGCAGCATTTATTGCCCATCTCTAATTGCCCAGAGGGCAGTTCACAATCACTCACATTGCTGTGGGTCTGGAGTCACATGTAGGCCAGACCAGGTAAGAATGGCAGTTTCCTTCCCTTAAGGACATTAGCGAACCAGATGGGATTCTCTGACAATGGGTTCATGGTCATCATTAGATTCTTAATTCCAGATATTTATTGAATTCAAATTCCACCGTCTGCCATGGCAGGATTCAAACCCAGGTCCCCAGAATGTCATCCAGGTCTCTGGATTAACAGTTCAGTGATAATAACACTAGGCCATCACCTCCCCAGCGTGCCCCAGCAACAAGCAGAGCTCACTTTCCATGTACAGATACCCACCAAGAGACCAGCCTGAAAACCCAGACCCTGCCACTCAGTGCCCTGGTCAAAGAGGACAACACAACTGCACAGAGTAGCTTTGGCTGTGTGACAAATCTCAGAAACACTAAAACACCGAATATTTACAAAACACCAAACTGTGAAAGGACGTCAAGAAACGGATTTGCAGGGAAATTGCTGAGAAATGCGAGACCGATAGAGAAATGATAATAAGAGACTTGATTGATTGATTGATTGATTTATTGTCACGTGTACCTAAGTACAGTTAAAAGCTTTGTTCACGAGTGGTACAGGCAGATCATAATAAGCAAAGCGTGTACAGATCCAAAAGACTTCGACAGAGGCAGATACAGGTTACATTGCACAGGGCATGCGCTTGGTGAGATCAACGTCAGCAAGATCAGCGTTACTTGAGGCTAGAAAGTCTATTCATCAGTCAGATAACAGCCAGGAAGAAGCTGTTCCTGAACCTGTTGGTGCATGTGCCCAGGCTTCTGAATCTTCTGCCTGATGGAAGAGGCTGTAGGGGGTCATTACCAGGGTGCGATGGGTCTTTGATGATGCTGGCCGCCTTTCCACGGCAGCGAGCCATGTAAATGGAGCCCATGGATGGAAGGTTGGTTTCCGTGATGATCTGGGCTGTGCACACCACCTTCTGTAGTTTGTTACGGTCCTGGGCAGAGCAGTTGCCATACCAGGCCGTTATGCACCCAGACAGTATGCTTTCAATGGTGCATCTGTAGAAGTTGGTGAGGGATTTTATGGACATGCCAAATTTCCTGAGCTGCCAGAGAAAGAAGAGGCATTGTTGTGCCTTCTTGACTGTCGCATTTACGTGGGAAGTTGATTATTGTCACTCCAAGGAATACGATGCTCTTCACCCTCTCAATCTTAGTTCCATTGATGTAGATGGGGGCGTGTTCTCCTCCTTTCTTTCTGAAGTTAATGATTAGTTTTTTAGTTTTGCCAATGTTTAACAAGCTCCAACATAGAACAGGGCAGTGACTCTGTGATTCCTGTACAATAGGAAGGAGAAATTACCAGACTCCCAGCCTCACCTTCATCCTGCTGGATGAACTGGGTCAAATAGGGTGTTGAAGAAGGTGTTTGGTACATTTGCCTTCATTGCTCATAACATTGAGTGTAGGAGTTGGGAGGACATTTGGAATACTGTGTTCAATTCTGGTCACCATTCTATAGGAAGGATGTTGTTAAACTTGAAAGGGTTCAGAAAAGGTCTACAAGGATGTTGCCAGGGTTGGAAGGTTTGAGCTACAGGGAGAGACTGAATAGGCTGGGGCATTTTTCCCTGGAGTGTCAAAGGTTGAGGGGCGGCCTTATAGAGGTTTATAAAATCGTGTGGGGCATGGATAGGGTGAATGGCCAAAGTCTTTCCCCCAGGGTGGGGGAGTCCAAAACTCGAGGGCATAGGTTTAAAGTGAGGGGGAAAAGATTTAAATGGGATCTGAGGGACAACTTTTTCACACAGAGGGTGGTGCGTGTATGGAATGAGCTGCCAGAGGAAGTGGTGGAGGCTGGTACAATTACAACATTTAAAAGGCATCTGGATGGGTACATGAATAGGAAGGGTTTAGAGGGATTTCTTGCCCATCCCTAGTTGCCCCCATGAGAAGGTGGGGGTGAGCTGCCTTCTTGAACCGCTGCAGTCCTCCTGCTGTGGGTTGACCCACAATGCCCTTAGGGAGGGAATTCTAGTATTTTGACCCAGTGACAGTGAAGGAACGGCGATATATTTCCAAGTCAAGATGGTGAGTGGCTTGGAGGGGAACATGGTGTTCCCACGTATCTGCTGCCCTTGTCCTTCTAAATGGAAGTGGTCATGGATGGTGCTGTCTGAGGATCTTTGGTGAATTTCTGCAGTGCACCTTGTAGATAGTACACACTGCTGCTACTGAGCGTCGGTGGTAGAGGGAGTGGATGCTTGTGGATGTAGTGCCAATCAAGCGGCTGTTTTGTCCTGGATGGTGTCAAGCTTCTTGAGTGTTGTTGGGGCTGCACTCATCCAGGCAAATGGGGAGTATTCCATCACACTCCTGACTTGTGCCTGTAGATGGTGGACAGGCTTTGGAGAGTCAGGAGGTGAGTTACTCGCCTCAGGATTCCCAGCTTCTGGCCTGTTCATGTAGTCACTGTGTTCATGTAGTGAGTCCAGTTGAGTTTCTGGTCAATGATAACCCCCAGGATGTTGATAGTCGGGGATTCAGTGATAGTAACACCATTGAATGTCAAGGGGTGGTGGTTAGATTGTCTCTTATTGGTGATGGGCATAGCCTGGCATTTGTGTGGCACGAATGTCACTTGCCACTTGTCAGCCCAAGCCTGGATATTGTCCAGATCATGTTGCTTTTGAGCATGGACTGCTTCAGTGTCTGAGGAGTCACGAATGGTGCTGAACATTGTGCAATCATCAGGAATATCCCCACTTCTGACCTTATGATGGAGGGAAGGTCTTTGATGAAGCAGTGAGCAGTTGAGTGGCAGGGGAAGAGAAACTTGAGCGGGAAGACAAGATTGAGAGAAACAAGGATGGAAATGAAATATAGAAAAGTAGAAAGCAAGGCAGAGAAATCAAGGGCTAGCCCAAAATAAGGCTGGACTATAAAAAAAGTTCGGAAATGACAGAAAATAAGTTAGAAGGCAATTCAACTGAATACACAGACCATTCCCAATAAGATGGACAAACTAACAGGTTCGTTATTAATGAGAACGATATGATGTGATTATGGAGACATGGTTGCAGGGTGACCAAGGCTAGGTCCTGATCATGCAAGGATATTCAATATTTAGGATGAACAACAAAACAGAAAAGGGGGTGGGGTGGCATTGTTAGTTAAAAATGAAATCAGTGCGATATTGAGAAAGGATACTGGTGCAGGGGATCTTGATGTGGATTCAGTGTGTGTGGAGCTAAGAACCAGCAAAGGGTGGAGAACATTAGTGAGATTTATCCATAGGCTTCCAAAAGTAGGGGTAAGGCAAAGAATGGTATTAAACAGGAAATTAGGCGATAAGGGTGCCATGGTAATCAAGGGAAATTAAGGATAGTATTAGACTACAAGAGGTGTCATATAAAGTTGCTAGAATCTGTGGCAAGCTTGAGGACTGGGAGCAGTTTTGAATTCAGCAGATTACGACCAAGACGTTGACTGGTTGGGGAAAAAAATACAGTATCAGTATAAACTTGAAAAGCACATAAAAGCAGACTGTAAGAACTTCAGTAACTATATCAAAGAAAAATGTTAATGAAGTCATACTTAGGCCACTTAAAATCTGCAGCTGGAGAACTGATCATAGATACATATTGATAAAGCACAGAAAGAGGCCATTTAGCCCATCCTATCTGCACCAGCTTTCTGAATGAGCATCTTCATGTAGTTGCATTTTTTGTGCCTTTTCATAGAATACATATATATAGAATCCCTACAGTGTGGAAACAGGCCCTTCAGCCCAACAAGTCCACACCGACCCTCAGAGCATCCCACCCAGACCCCTCCTCCCTATAAACCCCTGTAATCTACACATCCCTGAACACCATGAGCAATTTAGCATGGCCAATCCACCTAGCCTGCACATCTGTGGACTGTAGGAGGAAACCAGAGCACCTGGAGGAAACCCACGCAGACACAGGGAGAATGTGAAAACGCTGCACAGACAGTCACCTGAGGGTGGAATCGAGCCCAGGTCCCTGGCTCTGTGAGGCAGCAATGCTAACCCCTGAGCCACCGTGCCGCCCCAAGATACTTGAACATGAAGAACAGTGATCAAGGAAATGACAGTAATTAAAGAGCTACTTTAGTTCTGTTTTCACAGAAAAACACACGTAATTTCTCAAAGAGGCTAGACAGGCAGGAATTAAAGTAAGTGAATAAAAAAGAAATGTCCTGGAGAAATGATTGGGACTGAAAGGCACACATTCCTAGGCCCTGATTACTTACACTCTAGAGTCCTAAAGGAGGTCACCATAGAAACTGTGGATACATTGGATTGTCATCTTTCAATCTTCAGTAGATTCTGGAACAGTTCCCTCAGATTGGAGGGTGACAAATGTAACCCCACTGTTTACCAACGGAGGGAGGGACAAAAACCAGGAATTATAGACTGGTTAGCCTAAAATTAGAAGGTAAATGCTGGGATCTGTTATGTAATATGTAATATGTAACAGGATACTTAGGAAATATCAACAAGGTTTGACAAGTGGCTCAGTGGTTAGCACTGCTGACCCACAGCACCAGGGACCCAGGTTTGATCCCACCCTCGGGTGACTGTCTGTGTGGAGTTTGCACATTCTCCCCATGTCTGTGTGGGTTTCCTCCGGGTGCTCCGGCTTCCTCCCACAGTCCAAAGATGTGCAGGTTAGGTGGATTAGCCATGCTAAATTGCCCACAGTGTTCGGGAATGTGTAGGTTGGGTGGATTAGCCATGGGAAATGCAGAGTTACAGAGTTAGGGTAGGGGGGTGGGTCTGGGTGGGTTGCTCTTTGGAGGTGTGGACTCGTTGGGCTGAACAGCCTGCTTCCACATGCTAGTGATTCTGTGATCAGACATGGTCAATGTGGATTTATGAAAGGGAAATCATGTTTGACAAACCTACTGGAGTTATTTGAGGATGTAACATAGAATAGATGAGGGAGAGCCAGTGAATGTGGTTTATTTGGATTTTCCAAAATCTTTTGATAAAAGGACCCACGTTGAGGTTTGTCCACATGGAGTCTGAGTGCCATGGATTGAGCCTGACAAAGGGTTCTGACTCGAAACGTTGACTTTCCTGCTCGTCGGATACTGTCTGACCTGCTGTGCTTTTCCGGCTCCACATTTATTGACTTGAGAATTGGTTGGCAGACGGGAAACAGAGAGTGAGAATAAATGAGATAACAAGTGTAGAGCTGGATGAACACAGCAGAAATTTTCTGAAGAAGGGTCTAGGCGCGAAACGTCAGCCTTTCTGCTCCTATGATGCTGCTTGGCCTGCTGTGTTCATCCAGCCCTGCACCTTGTTATCTCAGACTCTCCAGCATCTGCAGTTCCTACTATCAGTGAGAATAAATGGGTCCTTTTCAGACAAGCACACAGTGACTTTGGGATACTGCAGGGATCCAGTTGTTCACTATACAGGGAATCAAAAGTAATGTTTCCAAGTTTGCCGATGATGCATAATTGAGTCGGCATTCGTAAACCGAAAGAACGGGCAGATGCTGTAAATCAGGAACAAAAACAGATGTTGCCGCAGAAGCTCAGCAGGTCTGGCAGCATCTGTGGAGAGAAATCAGAGTTAATGAGTTAAAGAATTGAACTCATACTGTTAACAGAGTGTGTTTTACCAAAACAGTTCAAACTCCTTGTGATGTTGATCAGTAGGGAAAAAAAAAACATCCACTGACTTCCCCAGAACTCTGAAGGGTCTCTCAACCTGAAACGTTAACTCTGATTTCTGTCCACAGATGCTGCCAGACCTGCTGAGCTTTTCCAGCAATTTCTGTTTTAGGTCAGCGTGGTATGGGGGTGAGATTGCAAAGAAACATCAGGATGATGTAGACAAGGTGAGTGACGGAACACACACATGGCAGATGTGGTTTAACAGAAAAAATGTGAAACTATCCACTTTGGTAGGAAGAAGAGTATTATTTAGGTAGAGATAGATTGGGAGATGTTGATGTATAAAAGAACCTTGAGTGTTCTTGGACAGCCATCAGAGAGAGCTGTAAGGACAGCGGATGGTATACATCTTAACCTGAGCTGTTCATGGACATGATGGAACACCCCAAGAGCAGGTGAGTCTTAGACTTAGCTTAGAGGCAGGGATACTAAGGAGAGGAAATGGGATATTGGCTCTCATTTCAGGAAGGGTTGGATACAGGAGAAAGGAAGTCTTATTCCAGCTGGACAAGGCTTTGGTGAGAGCAGACCTGGTGCACTGTTGCAGGGCTGGATGAACACAGCAGGCCAAGCAGCATCATAGGAGCAGAGAGGCTGACGTTTCCGGCCTAGACCCTTCATCAGAAAAGGGGGAGGGGAAGGGGGTTTTGAAATAAATAGGGAGAGAGTGGGAGGCGGATAGAAGAGGGATAGAGGAGAGGATAGGTGGAGAGGAAACAAACAGGTCGAAGAGGCGGGGATGGAGCCAGTAAAGGTGAGTGTAGGTAGGGAGTTAGGAAGGGGATAGGTCAGTCCAGGGAGGACGGACAGGTCAAGGGGGCGCGATGAGGTTGGTCGGTAGGAGATGGAGGTGCGGCTTGAGGTGGGAGGAGGGAATAGGTGGGAGGAAGGACAGGTTAGGGAGGCAGGGACGAGCTGGACTGGTTTTGGGATGCGGTGGGGGAGGGGAGATTTTGAGACTTGTGAAATCCACATTGATACCATTGGGCTGGAAGCGGAGGCAAAAAAAAAAAAAAAAAAAAAAAAAAAAAAAAAAAAAAAAAAAAAAAGTCCATCCTGGGCCTCCTGCAGTGCCACAACGATGCCACCCGAAGGTTGCAGGAACAGCAACTCATATTCCGCTTGGGAACCCTGCAGCCCAATGGTATCAATGGTATTTAGCCCAGTGAGCTTTCATTTCAATTGAGCATCGTGACCTAGTGCCAATTTCCTGCTTTATTGCCAAATCTTGGCATGTTATTTCTATCCACGTTATCATCCAATGCCCTTTAGAACGTGCACATAAAGAACAATTTCTAAACTGCTAGAAGCATTACATAGTGTGGCACATGCATTTATAATGCTTAAATTAGCCATTAGGAGGCACTAAGGGTTTGAACTGTTTTGGTAAAACACACTCTGTTAACAGTACTGTTGATAATAGTGGAGATTAGTTTGGAATAAACCGCATGTGCGTAGGGACTGGTTAGCTGAGTTGGCTGGATGGTTGGTGTGTAATGCCAACAGTATGGGTTCAATTCTTACACCAACTGAAGTTACCACAGAGATGCTGTCCCCTTCCCTGAGGCGTGCTGACCCTCAGGTTAAACCCCTGCTAGCCATCCCTCTCTGAGAGAGCCGCCCCACGGTCCAGTAAAACTATGGTGACTTTACCTTGCTAATGTGTAAGAACCACTCTCAACAGTGTCCTCACTATATACTTTCTACTGCGTTACAAAGACTCACTCCATTGCGTTGATAACATTATGTCCACCATGCTTGGAGCTATGTATATAATGTGTAGGAATTGCTACTTCTGTTGTGTAGGACCACTCTGGGTCTTTTCACTGGAACGCAGGAGTCTGAGGGGCAACTGATTATAAGTTAATCAGATTGTGAATGGCAATCTATAGAGTGGAAAGTATGAGGCTTTTTCCCAGGGTGGAGGGGTTAATCACTAGGGGGCACAGGTTCAAGGTGCGAGGGGGGAAGTTTAAAAAAGATGTGTGAGGCAAGTTTTTCACACAAAGGGTAGTGAGTGCCTGGAACACGCTGCCAGAGGAGGTGCTGGAAGCAGACACAGTAGCAGCGTTCAGGAAGCACCTGGCCAAATACATGAACAGAGAGGGAATAGAGGGATATGGATCCTGTAAGTGAAGGCAGTTTTAGTATGGAAGGGCAAAATGTGTCAGCGCAGGCTTGGAGGGCTGAAGGGCCTGTTCCTGTGCTGTATTGTTCTTTGTTCCAACTGGGAGTGTTTGATGGGGACAGTGTAGAGGGAGATTTACTCTATAACTAACCTCCTGTCCCTGTTGAAGAACAAAGAACAAAGAACGAAGAAAATTACAGCACAGGAACAGGCCCTTTGGCTCTCCAAGCCTGCACCGATCCAGATCCTCTATCTAAACCTGTCGCCTATTTTGCAAGGATCTGTATCCCTCTGCTCCCTGTCCATTCATGTATCTGTCTAGATACATCTTAAATGATGCTATCGTGCCTGCCTCTACCACCTACGCTGGCAATGCGTTCCAGGCACCCACCACCCTCTGCGTAAAGAACTTTCCACGCATATCTCCCTTAAACTTTTCCCTCTCACCTTGAAATCATGACCCCTAGTATCTGAGTCCCCCACTCTGGGAAAAAGCTTCTTGCTATCCACCCTGTCTATACCTCTCATGATTTTGTAGACCTCAATCAGGTCCCCCCTCAACCTCCATCTTTCTAATGTAAATAATCCTAATCTACTCAATCTCTCTTCATAGCTAGTGCCCTCCATACCAGGCAACATCCTGGTGAACCTCCTCTGCACCCTCTCCAAAGTATCCACATCCTTTTGGTAATGTGGTGACCAGAACTGTACACAGTATTCCAAATGTGGTCGAACCAAAGTCCTATACAACTGTCCTGGGAGTATTTAATGGGGACAGTGTCGAGGGAGCTTTACTCAGTATCTAACTGTGTGTTAGTGACAGTGGAAGGTAGTGAGTGGCCGGGGTGGGGATCGGTATGTTGTGACTGTGGCCCAGAGTAATGTGTTCCGTGATTTGCTCCAGGTAACATCGAGTACAGCTGTCCCGCCACCAATGAGTGTGAAATCACAAAACGGAGGCGCAAATCCTGCCAGGCGTGTCGTTTTATGAAGTGTCTGAAAGTAGGAATGCTCAAAGAAGGTAAGAAATGGAGAAAACATCGTTTAATCACCTGGCACCCCCCCATCAAACACTCCCCAGGGACAGCACGGGGTTAGATACACACATCATTTCTCTCCAGATATCCATCCTATGACAATCTTGAATGCCTGAACTGAAACTACCTACACCACATCTCAGGCAGTGCATCCCAGACTGTAAATACTTGCTGTATGAAAATGTGTTTTCTTACATGGCACTTTCTTCGTTTGCACATCACTTTCAACCTATGCCCTCTCATTCTTGTTTCTTTTATGAGTGGGAATGGCTTCTCCCTATCTACTTTGACCAGGCCCTGCTCACAATTTCAAAAACCTCTCTCAAATCTTCTCTTAGGCTTCTCCTCTCGATAGGGAACGGTCCCAACTTCTTCAGTCTATCCCCATCATTGAAATTTCTCAATACTGCAACTATTCTTATGATTCACTTTCTGCACTGTCTCCAAAACAGCCGCATCTTTCAGAGCTCAGTGCTCAGACCTCAGCCATTCACTGTATTTATATTTATATTTATATAGACACACAGCCTGGGTAAGGGAACCAGATACACCATTTCCAAATTTACTGATGCCACAAAACTGGGTGAGATTGTCGAGTTGCGAGGAGGATGCAGAGTGAGAGACACAGCGATGCAGTACAGTGTGGCTACATGTGAAATTCCACACAATGCTGTCAGACACAGGAAGGCTGAGTCTCATTGGAAACGTGGTCTTTTGGGAGGTGGATGTACAAAGGGATCTGGGGGTCCCTGTACACCAGTCAATGAAAGTGGACAGGCAGATGGTATATTGGCCATCATTACAAGAGGATCAGAGTTTAGAAGTAGGGATGTCTCACTGCAGTTATAGAGGGGCTTGTGAGACCACACCTGGACTGTTGTGTGCAGTTTTGGTCTCCTTACCCAAGTGAGGATAGTCTTACCATAGAGGGAGGTTCACTTGGCCAATGCCAAGGATGGCAGGACTGTCCTATGAGCAGAGATTGATTTGTCTGGGGCCTCTATTCACTCGAGTTCAGAGGAATGAGAGGGACCTTATTAAAATTATAAAATTCTAATAGCGTAGTGTAGAATTGATGCAGGCAGGATGGTTGGGGAGTCTAGAACCTGGGGACTCAGTCTCAGGGTATGGGGTAGGGAGATGAGGAAGCATTTTTTCACCCAAAGGATAGCGAACCTGTGGAACACTCTGCCACAGAAGGTTGTGGAGGCCAAGTCCCTGAATATATTGAAGAAACAGATACACTTTCAGATTTTAAAGGCATCAAGGAGTTTAGGGAGCAAATGGGAATATGGCATTGAGGTAGGGGATCCACATTGAATGGTGGAGCAGGCTGAATGGCCTATTCCTGCTCCTAGTTTCTTATGTTTCTATAAAATAGCACCCCCAGCTGTACACAATCCTCCAGCTGATGTAAATAAGTATGCTGTACAAGTTCACCTTTACTCGATGCCCCTATGAATAAAGCTGTGCTCTGTGTGCATTATTCACTGCTCTCTCCCCTGTCCTGTCACCTTCAATGATCTATGCACATATCCCCTCAGCTCCCTCCTGCACCCCCTTTAGAAATGTACCCCCTATTTTATATTGTCTACCTATGTCCTTCCGACCAAAGTGCACTGTCTTACACCTCTCAGCATTGAATCTCATTGACTGCCTACCCACTCACTCCACCAACTTGTCAATGCCCTTTTGGAGTTCCACACAGTCTCCTCACAGTTTACAATTCTTCCAAGTTTACTGTCCTCCCCAAACTGTGAAACTGCTCCTGTA